TTAAGATGCCCTGTGAGGTAGATGGTAACAGAGTAAAATGTAGCGAAAGAGTAAAACGTACCAGGCCCCTCGGCCCCAGCTCGTTTGCACTGTACTTAAAATCCCTCTCTGTGCAAGTGCTAGTAAGTCAGAGGCCATGCACATACAGAAAATGGGATTTTAGCGGAGGGCCTAAAACACTGCCTCTTCGTTTGTCTAAAAGGTTAAAGAGAGCGTCTATATGATTTAAAAAAAAAAAAACCTGTTTCTGGGAGCCTGCTACATACACAAAGTTAGGGGGTTTTATTTTAATAATTTTTATAAGTATTTTCTGGGTGAGGGAGTGAAAATACCTATTCATTAATCATACCCCTGTCACAGAGCAAACAAGAAAGATAACTAAATACTAGCAAATTCATTAGGTGTTCAGTGCGTTTCAGTACTTTGCAAACTGGAACTATCTGAGCCCAGGCTCAGCTGTGATAATACAGGCAGAACCTCAAGTAGGGTCAAATAACAAGATTAGTTTGGCGATAATAAGTAAGAGGAATGCTCTAACAGAAACTCTCTAGAAATATAAAAAGTCTTCAAAGTGTAGAATCAACCTTATACGTTTATCTTGCAGCACTAAGCTATATGACTTTAATAGTGCTGGAAAATGATTTAATTTAGAACAGGCACAATTTATTTAAAACCAGGTTTGAGTACTTTTTTTCCACTATGTTTATGCTGCTTGTAAACGTAAAGCCCCATTATCTTTCCCACGACAAGGAAACCCGTTTTAAATGAACCATTCTTCTTTCCATGCAACTACTCTCTCATCTGAAAATGCTGTTAATTATATTTACCGAATAGAGAAATTCAGCTGCTACAAAGTTGGGAGGAAGGGGATACAATAAGCTGGAGAACAGTGCAGCTTCTCATATTCCTAGCATTTGGCAGTTTCCTACTTAAGTTATTGCCCTTTTAACCACAAGTTGTATTTAACATTTGTTAAGCTTAGTAATGCTTGAGTTTCATCTCTTCTTGCTTCGCTTGTCCAAACATACATTTCTGTAACAGGATTATTTGTGCCGTCTCTGTACTTATTCACACTACATAGTAGTAATATAATTTATTCTGAAAACCTCTGGTCAGAACTTTTTTTTTTAATAGAATGATCAGTGGGGGAGAACTGGTTTGCTGTCATGTTATTTACCCCATTAACAGGTACTTCCTTGAATTTGGAGGGAGGGCAAGAAGCAAACGACTGAAACCTTAAGTGGAGACCAAACTTGTGAAATGTCAGTCCCAAAAATATTTAACAAAGGTAAAAGAAGGAACAGAGTCAGAAAGTGCTTTGAGACCTGGTAGAATTTAATGAGCGTACCTGAAAAAATCCACCGCTTCTAGTTCTTGGTGATTTCTTTGACTAGTCTTGTGCTAAACACTCTAAAAAGGCGAAGCAGAGGTAAAATTAAAAATACATAGCTATAGAGAAAACATTTTGACACTTTTTTGGTTTTTTTTTTCAACAGTCAGCTGGGATAGACTAATATCTGCTATATCTTCCTCTTAAGGTGGATATGAACGAAAATGGAGGAAAAACCAAAACTGTACAAGGTGCTTAAAGTTATGGCATAGGGTAAATGCAACATGGCGAGGATTTTCAAAAGGAAATCATAGGATGCCACATCGTAGGCGCCTAAATTAAGCACTAAGAGAGGATCATTTTTTAAAAGTTTTTAAAAGTCATTGAAACCTCATTGCTCATTAAAGACTCTTGTAATTACCTGCACTCAGAGCTGCCGTCAGTCTAAAGTTTCATCTGAGAAAACCGGATTGCCTCAGCAAGTGCTGCCTCTTCTATATTGTTGTTGTGGTCTTAGTCTGTCCTGTCCTAAAGTCATAATAAGCCTCTAAGAGCAGGGGATTCCCAGTTCTGGGAGTTATTTTGCAGCGGCAACTTACAGGGTCATATCTATTGAACTACTGTTAGTGACAGACTATTAGACAATAGAGATTAGATTAATACTCTCTTTTGCGTTTACTACTGCTACAAATTACAGAGGAGCGTATGCTTTGGCAAATGACATATCAAACATGTCAAGCATTTGTCTTTGCTTCTTTTTGGCAGGTGAGAAATAATACTGATCTTAAAACATTTTGAGTGCATTAGTATTTGTCCTTTGGTGGCATCTACTGAACTTAGTCAGGGACCAGCACTACAAACGGTCGCTAGCATAGACCTTGTTTGCAAAGGCAGGCCAGAACCCAAATCTGGAACAGTGCAGTGCTTTGCTTGTTAGCTCTTTTATCGCTTCTGTAAACCTTCATTAGCTTCCAGGCAGATGCAATTTCAGTTCCTGTAGTGCATCAGTTGTAGAAACAACAGACCAAAAGCATCGGGAGGATCCTTTTGTATAGGATATTGTATAGTGCGCTGATTAAAAATCTTGAGACACCTGTTGTCTGTTGTGACCTCACCAAATCACAAGGGAAAACTGCTTGCTTGGAGACAGGAAGACTGTTAACATCCACTGCAAAAATCCTGAAGTTAAAAGCAATGAGGGAGGAAGAAAAGAATATTTGACCTTGGGTTTGAAAGTGGATATCTAAATTGTCACGCTGCTGCTGCTCAGAAGCCTCTTTCAGTCATAGCTGCTTTGCCCTTTCCTTCTCAAGTTCGCTGAAATGAACAGTGTTGTCTCATGCTGGCGTTGCTTTTTATCCTGGCACATGTCATCAAAACAGCATAGATGTTCACCTCAAAATAGCACGTGGTTAGAATTTCAAGGTTTATGTAAGAATCTAGGTGCTAGTTGTCTTTCCATAAACGTGACACAGTCCTGTGTGGGCTGTCTTACACTTGGCTTACGTGTTAAAAGGGACATTAATGTAACAAGCTGCCAGGCAGGAAGAGGACAGTTTTGTGGATCATCTTCTACAGTACTGAGGGAAAGAAAGGTGATACCATGATAACAACGTCTTCAGAACCCATTTGAACAATGAATTTGTCATTTGCAGAGTGGCTTGCTAACTTACCCATAGCTTTGGCTTTTAATTTATTTGAAGTGTGCTATGTTGCTAAAAGGACTATCAACTCTCTACCTTCATACCTGCTGAATAAGCTAATAGGCATATTAAAGTGGTGCATGGAATCCTTTGTGTTTAGTTTGTGTAGCAATGAGAACACCCTTAAGAGACCCAAGCGAACAACAGAAAACAGTTAGGATAGAACTGCTTATTAGTTCTGAAGAGAATGTAATTAAGTAATTTGAATTTGCATGAAGAATTTCATCAGTTTAGAGAATATACAATCTCAGTTCCAATCTTCGTTTTGACTGGCAGCTCATACTTGTTAAAATTTTGGCTTGCAGTTGAGCTGTTACTGTAAGAAACTGCTTTTGGGTCTGCATAGGGTCATTTCCACAGAAATTAGCTAAAACATAAATCGAAGTGAAAGATATCAGAGGAGTAGTTGGTGAAAGATGAGGAGGGACCACTTGCTTTGATTTGAATGTCAGTGGCTGGCCAGTCCCTTTCTGTTCACAGTGTACGTGGTTCTTATTTTTCTGGACTTGTTACTGTTGGACTAAAAGTTAAGACAACCTCTCCTCAAAAATTTAACTGTGGCCTATGGTCTGTGGCCTCAACTTCTTGGAATTCTCTGGGCATTCTTGTTTCAGTGATGTTCCTGATACTTTCCAGGACTTATCTTTGGGATTGGTCTCTGTGTAACACAAGTCAAGTTTGAAGGCTAACCTCTTCGATACTCTACTCTCCATTTCTGGCTCCAAAGACTGCCTCTTCCCATGCAGCAGAACTGATAAAGAATCTCCAGAATCAATGTAATTGCTGAATTCTGAGTTATCAGCTGTGAAAATAAAGTCTTGTGAATTGCCTTACATCTGCTTCAGAAAGGTATGAATGGCTTCAAAAACACAGAGCAGCTTACAGTTGTAGGAAGATATCTTTGCATTAGTTTGGGTGAAGCTTTTCTCCCATCCCTGGCCACCCAGTCCAAAGATCTGTGACTTTTTTACTTTGTGACAGTATCTTGTCTCTCATGCCCTAGAAGCAAGGTCATGTTGATTTTTCAACCTAAAAGTATAAGCTTTTGGCAGTCCTTCGGCAATAACAGGTCAGTTTATGATCAGCGTACACATTGGTGTAATTGGGGGCCTTCCAGAGACTCCCAGATTAGAAATATGTAAAGAAATCATTGGCTAGTGAGGACAAAACTCTTTATCAGCAGTTAGCATGATACAAATATTAAATAATAACCATGATAAATAATATCCTTGTACTTCCTATTCCTGTTTCTTCCTAATTTCCTTTCTCAGAGGTTACAGCTATCATGTTCCTGTTTCATTTGGATGAACCCAACTGGTTGTAAGTCTCCCATAGACATGACTACTGTTCCGATTTTTTTTTTTGTCGTGTCGGGCAGTTTCAAGCTGTATTGAGATGCCACTTGCTGTTTAGTTGCCAGTCTCTTAATGATGTTTAATTCTGATGCGAGACATTTCCTTTTTGTGTGTCAATCGTAGCCCCGTTGTATTCATCACACGCTTGATAGGTGCCCTGCTTCTGGTTATGGTGCACCTGTTGGAACATCTGTTCTGTCTTGGAGTTCAGAGTAGCTTTGTAGACATCCACCTCTTTGCCAACAGTCAGGTTAGAAACTCAATTTGGAATTTTTTTTTCAGTGACCAAATATTTTTCCTCGCTTCTAAAGTATGTTCCAAGTCAGTCCTTCACGTAAGGTCAGAAGGTGCCTTTGGATTCCTGTTGATGGGGTGTTCTGGAACAGTAATGATAGAAAAGAAGAACAGGCACTGCTGTCCAGGAAATGCAGTGTTTTGTGTAACTGAAAACATTTAAGTATCTCTGTTAATTGTTATTATTTAGGGCTTACAGCTTGTTGGGGGAACTGAGAAAAGAGCAACAGAGATTAGTCTATTGTAGTGACTCTTAGCAAATTTTGTCCATTGTTATGCGTAGGGACCGCTGCAAGTGCAGGTGTGGAAAGACTACTGGAAGTTCTTGCAGTGCCTTTAGCATTTATACAGTCGTGGTGCGTTCCTAGATAAATGCAATAAGTGTGGTTTTCACTTCAAAGGCTATAGAAAGCTCAAAGAACATAAAACTAGTCCCACAAAGTATTTTCATTACATGGTGTACTTCAGAAAATTCAAATTATTAAGAAAAAGCCACTATGCTCTAACTGGTGAAGTATTAGCACGAACATATGCTCTATTATTACAAATAAAATCAAGCTGTACAGAATAAAGTAATTTCTGAGACCTGCAACCTACCTAGCATCCTTAGCCTGCTCTATTGCATTTCCTTTCTTGTACATCTTGATCTTGAAAAACAAACCGTAGAACAAAATTTTGCTATGTTCTGATCCTAAATCGTTTAAAAGAGGAACTTGATTACAGTGTCTTGTCTTACAAAGTGCTTGTGCTCCAGCTCATTACACTTCTTTGTTTCTAATTTTAAAATATTTTTAAACTCTCTTCCATTTCTATATGAGTGTTTCGATTTAATGTATTCTCCATAAATTTAGAAAAATGCTCTCTCCTTTATTGTACCATGGTACTTGAATTACACTGGAGTACTGTCACAACATGTTTTGCTGGAAAATTGGATCTACCTTTAATATATATAGATCTTACGACGGGTGCTGATGAATTTCTTAAAAAGGATAGTAAGTCTTTCTCTCACCAGCATGTCTAGATGATTTATAATGATGTAGCAAGGCAGCTAAGTCTGCAGCGGATACTTGAACCTCTTAACTGTACTTAAAAGAAGTTCCTCAGCTTGGTAAAAAGCAATTTTCTGTGGCTTGACTCGCCCGATCTCAGGACTCTCTCCTTCTCTGTGTATTGCAGAAACTGGTTGCAGATCACTGAGCAAACAGAGCTCTGAAAAATAAAACCAAAAAGATTGGTGAAGGTTTTGCTAGTGGTTATGTGATAATCTGTATAATTTCTACCAAAAGTTTCTAAAAAAACTTTGAACAAATAAAATGAGGAAAACTTCAAGAAGCTAAAAACTGAGATAAGCAACTAAAAATTGAATTACAAAACGTACTGAATAGTTCTTCATATACAGAATGTTAAGATACTGGCACTGGATATACTTACCGCATGTAATCATGCCCAGTTTGCTAGTACACAGTGCTGGTTTACCTCGGGTGAGCAGAACCCCTGTAATTTTAGGATTCCTCATTTCAGTACATCTTTTATTTGTTTTGGATTTATTCTCTTCCATTGAGTCATCTTGTAAAGTATTAAAATTAAACTTCAGATGAAATTCTAGGAGTCAAATTTTTACCTTGGCTACAGTAAAACCCAGGTTTTAATCTGGGTCTTCTTTCTTAAGACTTACCCACAGAGTCTTGTTTGCCCTCAGAGCCTTGCTGTCTGAGCAACCCCATTCCCTGCCCTAAGCCTAAGTTATTTGAGAGTAGCTGATGCTGCACCATACCGAAGTGGTGTCAAGAGCCAATCTAAATTCCACCTGTCTTTAGTTTCAGAATGGCTGCGGTTATTGCCTTTCCTGGGCGTGCTGGCCTTGCTTGGTTACCTCGCTGTTCGTCCGTTCCTCCCCAAGAAGAAACAGCAAAAGGATAGCTTGATTAACCTCAAGATCCAGAAGGAAAATCCAAAAGTAGTGAATGAAATAAACATTGAAGATCTGTGCCTCACTAAAGCGTACTGCAGGTGTTGGCGTTCTAAGACGGTAAGATACTTTGTGCTACTGTAAGATTAGAGATTGAAACTTGCATATTTTTATCAGTGCTTCGGTGGTGAATTGCTACATGTTGACCTGTTGCTTTTCTCTGGAGGTGCAACATGTTCCTGGTTTTTGAGAATGGCACAGTTCTTATTTTTTCTCCACTGTAAACCTATCTACATGCAGAAAGAAACTGTAGAAACTTGTAAGAAACACAGAAGGGTTTTTCTAGAAACACTTACAGAGTGACCACCTGTGAGTAGATTAAAACCAAGCAAGCCTTGTTTAATATTTGGAAATACGTTGCAACCAATTAGAAGATAACTACTCTATTTTGCAGAAACAATGCTTAGAAAGTTGTTCATATTAGAATGAAAGTAAGGCTGGACCTGTGTTGGTGAGGGAGAGCATATCCCCATCTGGTCCAGAGCAGCCAGTAGATGACTGATAATAAATATATATAGATGACAGTTTGGATAGTCTATATACCCCAGATCAACTAGATGTACGTGGGTTTTTTTCATCTACCCTCAGTTTCTTTCGAATGTCCTGACTGCACTCTGGTTTTGTCCTCTCTGGACCGAATGCTTTCCTGTTTTAACAAAAAAATCTGCCCTGGACCTAAGGAACCCTCTCAGCTATTCTCCCTTCAGAATAATCACAGTTTTCCTTAAAACAGTAGTTTCTTGTTGCAGATGATTATATCTATTAAGAGCACTTTTACTAGTTCCACAATAAACCTTAAACCATTTGTGGCTGCGATGGCTGCTTTGCTTGCTGTTTTCATGGAAAAGGCTTTGTCCCTAACTTTGTGTCTAAGAACAGCAATTTTAGGACCTCACAAACTTAGTTACCTGTTAGCAGTGGTTTTTTTCCTTAGTAACATGTGTCTTCTCTCTGATAGGACACAGGGAATTTGATGTTGAAACGGGACATAGCAGGAGGAACTAGCAACACTCTCGAAGTGCTCTTGGTGTAGGAAGAAGTATAAAAATTACCATGCAATTGCTGTACAGAGTTATACTAATTCCTCGTGTATGTTTTCTTCCAGTTCCCTGTCTGTGATGGTTCCCACAACAAGCACAATGAATTAACAGGAGATAACATAGGTCCACTAATACTCAAGAAGAAAGAAGTATAGCAGATGCTTAATCCACTAGATCATGACTGATAAAAAGTCTTTTTATACTGTTGTAGTTGCAAGGGACAGCATTTTATTATGTGATTGGTATGATGTAGTCTAATGATTGTTGTAGATTTCTTTTTGGAATAAACTGCATTTAGACAGTGCTAAATCTGTCACTGTTTTGATACTTCTAAGAAGAGTTATGTCTGCTTTGTAAAACTAAAGTAACTAGCTCTGTAAATAAGTCGTTTATTTCAATAATAAAATGACTTCCTACAATGAAGCCTTTTCTGTGTGAACATGCATTTATAAAACTGTCACTATTTCCAAGTGACAGAAGTGCACCTTTCTGTTGATTTTGCTCTGCTGAGAAGCCATGTTTTGTTCTGCTTTTCAGGAACAAATTTAAGTGCGCTTGAGTGGGGAAAAAAGATAATAAATTCATCCTTTGTGAATGTACCTAAGCATACCACCGAGGGCAGGCAGCGTAGCAATGTGAAGTTACGCGAGGTGAAGGTCTGGCCTGTGCAGTGCCTAAGCGGGCAGTTTGTTGGTCTCGTGCAAAGCAGCCCAGGTCAGAGAAACCCCACACAGCTGGACAGTCTCATACCGTGTCCTAGGTGGAGTGCTGCAGTTCCAGACCATGTAAACTAAACCATCGAGCAGGTCAGTCCCTAACGTTATCCCTTTATTTTGGGCCCCTGTGTTGATTGTTCATGGGCTCCTGTAAGGAAACACAAATTTGTTCCTTGCAAGTTCACTTGCACTGTAGCTGCTACCTTTTGTAGCGGGGACTTTCATGGGAGGTACGGGTTAAATGACAGAACCAAGAAAGCAGAGCTGAGCTGTATTCTTGGCTTGTTACCCATTCAGAATGATTATTTGGGCAAGTTAAACTTTGCTGTGGTACAGCTTAATTTCAGATGCAGGTAAATAATTACTGCTTATCTAACTGTTAGACTTCTAATTATTTCTTCTAAAGTACTTTATTCTTCAATGAAAGGCTGTATCCATCAGTTTAAAAATAAAAATTTCATCCATGCTACAATTTTAGACTAAGGCAGATTTCAGCTGTTCCTTAACAGCATTTCATTTGACCCGTTGTTAGGCAGGTGGGAAGACCCACAGCGGTGTGCCATCATTGCCAAAGCTGATCACCACAGCGCTGAAGCTGAAAGCAAGTTAGGAAGCAGCTCTTGCATAACGGGTCTCGCAGCAGCGGTAGAACTAAGGTAGATCGTTCCTCCTGCATTTATAACGCTTGTAGTTCTAGGTACCTAAACCTCTTGCCTTGCAGCAAAAGATGGCAGATTAGGGTGTGATTGTTAAATGCCTGCTTTTACAAACTGTGTAATAGAACCATGGTACAGTCTTAAATGTTTAAGTGCTTCATGGTGGTCTTTCTTACCTTGATGGATGAGCAAACCATAAACATTATAGTAGGATATAACATCTATAATAGAGGAAAATCCATAATGTTACTAAGTGTCTTATACTCACTCTTCACTTACAGATGCGATATATTGAACACCAAGCCCCAATTCTTGGGTTTGGTGAAGAAATTACCATGTGAAGTGCAAAAGCCTGTCTTTAGATATTTTTTTTTTCCCCAGGCTTCAAAATCCGCAGCCTATTGTAGCAGGCTGTTGTTATATACAAGTCTATATGCGCTTCCAGCTTTTGTCAGGATACTTCTGCATTCAAATAGTTTTGATTTCCTCCTAAGTCTGAGAAGTAAACTACGTACATCAATCCTGTTTTCACTTCCGTGGCTCTACTCAGATGAACCCTGTAAGAGTAAGTAATACAGCAAAATTGGTTTTATTTCTCCCACAAAGCTCCTCTAAAAGGAGAATGACTGTGTAAGGTTTAACCTCCTGACTCTATCTCTAGCACAGCTTGATTATGTAATTAATTTTTTCTCCCTGTTTGCTGTTAGATGAGATTGCTGCTAAACTATCTAGAAATGTGGCTATGGAACAAACAGGGGTTTTTTGTTTGGTTTTGCTTATGTCTATAGGGGAATGGAACACATTTGTAGTATGGACCTGCAATAGCAGCACTTAGTCACAGTTCCTTTGTAGAGAGGACATTTTAGTAATTTCCACAAGATAATAATAAAATGAAGATCACAAGCAAGATAAATGACCATTTCCTTGCATTTCAAAATCTGTCAAGGTAATACTGTTTCTCATGGCCACAGAATTTTCTATAGAAAATCTCAAAGAATTTACTAACCGGTTCAAATTATCTACTTAAAGTCTACAGGGATGGATAGTTGTCATGGTTTAGCCCCAGCCGGCAACTCAGCACCACACGGCTGCTCACTCACTCCCCCCTGGTGGGCTGGGGGAGAGAATCAGAAGAGGAAAAGGGAGAAAACTTGTGGGTTGAGATAAAGACAGTTTAGTAGGTAAAGCAAAAGCCGCACACGCAAGCAAAGCAAAACAAGGAATTCATTCCCTACTTCCCATCAGCCGGCAGGTGTTCAGCCATCTCCAGGAAAGCAGGGCTCCATCACCTGTAAGGGTTACTTGGGAAGACAAACGCCATCACTCCAAACGTCCCCCCCTTCCTTCTTCTTCCCCCAGCTTTATAAGTTGAGCATGACGTCACATGGTATGGAATATCCCTTTGGTCAGTTGGGGTCAACTGTCCCGGCTGTGCCCCCTCCCAGCCTCTTGTGCACCCCCAGCCTGCTCGCTGGTGAGGTGGGGTGAGGAGCAGAAAAGACCTTGACTGTGTAAGCACTGCTCAGCAGTAACGAAAACATCCCTGTGTTATCAACACTGTTTCCAGCACAAATCCAAAACACAGCCCCATACGAGCTACTATGAAGAAAATTAACTCTACCCCAGCCAAAACCAGCACAATAGCTAAGAACTGAAGTGTCTGCAGAGTGCTGTATCTCACCAGCAATTGTGAGCGTTGAACCAATTACCTGCTAGGATGTGCTTGGTCATGTCTTGCCACTGGATGACTTTTCTAACCTAATTTGGAAGCTCCACACAAAGGGATAAATTTGCCCCTAATGCTAATAAAGACCAGGACTGAGGCAGTGGACCAGGTCGTCACAGCCTTGATGCAAAATCAGGGGAAGCTGAACTTGGCATGTCATGACATGCCTTTTCACTCTACAAGAACAGAAACGTTTACCTTTCTTTTGATTATGAATTTGAACAATAGTTATAATAGACTACAAATACACTTGTAAAACAAATACGTTTAGAGAAAGGTGTCTGTCTTGTGGCAACTACTAGACAAAGTAAATGCAATTGAAGTGCAGCTGGCACAAAATTTCATCTCTTGCACTCCGTTTATTTAAAAAGCAAAATGCAAAAACTGTATCATTCACTGTTTTGTGGCTATATTACACCATGAGTGTTTCAGTTAATTTTAGACTTCAGCCTAAATTCCCTAAAACACTCAGTTTGGCTGAAAAAGAGAGAGAAAACAGTGATTATAATTACATTATCACTGCATCCCCCGGCCTGTACGACTCCCTGCTTCCAGATGGCCAGTTTCTGTCTTTTCCCATATGCTGCCTGCTGTCACTCTGCCCGCTGCTTGCTGCCAGGAACGTGCTGTGCCGTCGGATCCTTCTGCTGCAGAGGTTCTTGTGAGCCTTCTGGAACTGCACACAGGTACTGTGCTCAGTACTCTCCCATGTTATGCCTGTGATTATGTCTGCATGACAGCGGGACTCCTCTGGTTATCGTTTACTGCACTTTGTGCTCTAATTTTATTTCTTGCAAATAAGAGAGACTGGCATGGCATAAAGATTTTATTGGCTTGAATTTATGCATTATTCATGAACGATTTAACGACATTTTGTTAAAAGGGAGGTGGTCTTAAAAGTCATTACTTCACCCACACAAACTGATAAAAAGTGAAATTGTATCTCTCAAAGTTAACTGCTATTTGAAATCAGCTGAAATTGTCACAATACTTATTAAAAAAACCCCAGTCTCATAGGTTCTTAGCCCCGATATAACATTTCTTTTCATGACAAGACGCAAGTGTTTTGTTCCTTTCTGGAAGGCAAGGAGAGGAGCATTATGAAGCATTAATGCTTTTCATTTAAGATCTGCAGGTCTAGGTAATAGCTTCAACCTGATTCTTTTTGAAAATTTAGTAAAAGCTGGGAGAAAGGAGTCTTGTGAGAAACATCCGCATATGGTGGCGAGGAAAGGAAAATTGATTCAATTTTGTTTAGATTAGAGAACAAGATGATGCTTTTCATTGGTATAGCTAGCTATTCAAGCACTCAGAACGGTGGGAGTGATCTAAGGAATAAATTGAGAGTGCACTGAGGTTAAGGGAACATAATAAATCCAATTTATGAGATGCTGTTATGATGGTGAGCAAGTATTAGAGGCTATCATGAACAAGGGCTGTTTGTCAGAGGTTTGCTTGCATACTTAAGGTTGGGTTCGAATTTACAGGGCTATAATCCCTACACATTACACTTCTGTTATTGAACAGTTTCTGAATTTGGCATAGTGATCCCTCCCCGCGGGAAGATTCTACTTTTTATAAAACTTTATGAAAAAAATGAACTATATAAAGCTTCTACTCCTGTAAGTTTTACTCAAGTAGAATTATTTTATAGGCAGTCACTGATGAACTGAACACTATATTCCCTCATCTTACCCATTAGGTTAACAGACATTACAATTTCCAAACACAATAAGCTCCTATTAAAACTACCCCTATTTAAGTAACAGAGTGCCTCCGTTAGCCATGCAAAGAAGGCAGAACAGGCACAGAAGTCAATGGCTGACACAGTAACCATCAAGCACAGCACCCTAACCATTCATCAGTGCGCAGTTTGAAAGCATCTGCCTTTCCGGTCATGGGCAAACATGGACTGAACTAAAGATTGTACATTCCCCCAAGGAAGCGGAGAGAACAGCAGTGTGTATAGTAAGGAAAATATCAGTGTGCTTGACAACTGTTAGGGGAAAACTTAGCAAAGAATTTCCTGGTATTTTTATCACTGTGCTGGAATTGCAGGCTATGAACCTCAAATATTTCTCAGGAAGCTTTCTTTTTGGCTTGGAGAGGAAGGCATATACAAAGGCACACATACTGAGCCGTAATTAATCTGTATACAGAGGCATATGTGGACACTGTGAATAATACAGTTTCAGATAGTTTTCTATTAAAGGTATTTTTGTACATTTTTGTGTTGCATATCAAAAGTATAAAAGCTAAGATAGAATTGATTAATTCTTACTAATGCCAAAAATATCTAGACATATCAAATACATTCTATAGCATATCCTGTAAAACGAGTTCAGTGAACTGTAGTGTAGAAATCTGCAAGGAGACATTGTCCACCTTGATTTTAGGCATGATCTAACATCCTTACTAAAAAATAACAAAATAAAACTTCCAGTTTCTGAGGGATGCTGTACTGACTCCATCCATCCGAATGGAGCTGGGAATGACCTACTCGGAGCTAGTTACTTGTACAAAACGTAGCAGAGTAAGACAGATTTGCTGGTATCTGTAACAGGTCAATACTAAGCCCTAACTGATACTAAAGCTAAAGGCAAGAGCAGGATTTTGATCAACCAAGGAGGTTTACTCCTGGCTTTAGGACAGTCAAGGAGAAGAGAAAGAAAAGTCTTCTGGGAATGGGAAAATCAAATGTGAACTATATTGCAACTGACTGTGCAGGAGGCATCTATATTAAATAAAATGAAGAAAACCACATTTGAGCTTTTTGCTCCCCCTGGTGAAATGTTTTGGCAAGATACTCAACACGAGCATTGCCAGTCATTACCACGATCCACAGCCACACACAACCTGTGTTTCTGGAAAGACCCACAGGACCCGTAGGTATGTGCTGAGGGTGCTAGCGCTGTGTCCTGAACTTCCTCGTGACACCTGCCTTCACACAGCAGCCTTTCTGAAGGTAGGTGAGGCTCCTTTTGCTTTGTACCATCCCTCTCAGCACTGCATTTTCAAGGCTGTTCATTTAAAGTCTATTAGTTTTCTGCATCAATCGGAGATAAAAAGTGCCCTGGCAAATCTGAGAGGCCTCCTCCACTCTCCACAGTCAATCCAGCCAGCCACCTCTTGGAAAAATGAGCATTAACTGGCTATATTGTTAGCAAATACCTGATTTTCTTTTCTGCAGTTACCCAAATGCAGATGTGAGAAGGACCTGATCATGGCATTTTCTCAGCCAGATGAGTATTAACTTAGGACAAAGCAAAGGAGATCCTGGCTGACCCATGAATCTTGATTTGAGAAGAGGTCTGCTGCTATTGCCAAGTTCCCCAACAGGAGCCGAAGAAGAAAGGGACAACTCATTGCACCTTGGCCTCGCCCTGTCAGCAAACCCCACCCGAGAGGAGCTCTCCCCTCTGTCCTACAGTGGCCAGCACCAGAACATAGCCGCTCTCAGTGGCCGAAGAGCTGGCTTTCCCTCTATTGACATCGTGTTGTGTGAAGGCTGAGGCACACAGATGAAGAAGCAGCCATCCCAATCCCCTACAACCCTTTCCCACTCCTCATAGCCTCCCCACAACCCTCATCCCGTTTTCAAGCTCAGTCCTTTTTTCTACCAGCACCAGCAACACCTGTATTACCACAGTCCCTGATGGATCCAACTGTCTTTCAGCACATAAGTACCACTTGCTGTTTCTTGCTACGACCGAAGCTGACAGTCCCTTGAAGGCACAAAGGAGTGCATGAGCTGTGAGGAAGAACAGCAATAGGAAGAGGCAAGTTTTGGAACCCGAATGAGGAAGGAGAGGGAATCACTAACCCGTGGCAGGTCTCATTCACTATGTGTCAGCTGTCTCTAATTCGGAAGCTGCATTCTTTGAGCTGTTGAACTTGTCATCTCACAGCCCAGTTTCAACCATCAAGAAGTTATTCACATTAGCCTCCATTTTCTGCTGTTTATATTCCACCTCATGACTCTGCTTCCATGCCTGAACAATTCTGACCCTCTCCCTGGCCTCACACCCACACATTTCAAGTAACTGTTGACTGCTAACCTCTCAGTGACTCACTGCCTGGCCAGCCTATTCACTGTACATTCAGCTATTTCATCTCTTAAGGCACCATCAACACATAAAAATATTTTATAAAACTCCACCAGGGCTGCTTTTAAAATAGCGGACATAACTGATTCTTGTTTTGGTTTCCTCCAGAAAGATTACAGACATGCTGTGTTTACTCAACAGAAGCTAAGAGCTGAAGGACCATATTCCTGTAGTTGTCTGTCTTACGAAGGTTCACAGGCCTCTGCCTCTTCTCCAACCTCAGCACCTTCTTCATCCTCCTTGCTATTTGTCTGAGCCTTCTGCAAAAGTCTGGGCCCTGCCAAGCCAATAACCAGGGCTCCAACTGGAGCGGTGATCAAGATAGCCAAGAAAGCTACTGTCAGTACATCCATTCCATACTTTTCTAGTTGCTCATCCTGATGACTTCTCGCTGTATCCAGGGCAAGGGAACCTATTGCAGCCTGCAGGAAAGAAAACATTGCTGAGATGGATCAAGTAACCTTTAGCACTGAAAGAGGAAAAAAAGGCACTAATCATCAGTCAACATTTAACATAAATCGGACATTTTTAGTACATTCAACCCATTCGTTTCTAGGCAGTACATAGAAAAGTAAATATTATATTACACCTATGAGAACAATTTTCACTCAGCTAGACTTCGAATTTCCTTAGCTCATGAGTTTATCCGGGTGTTCCCTCCTGTGAAGAACATTGCTTAGTTGTCATTTTATCCACATTTTTGGAGAATATGTGATTAATGAAATTGGCTGGTATATTGCATATTGCAGCTGTTAAAATGCCACACCTTGAGAATGCATCCTGAAAGCAGTCAGCTAGTAGCAGCTTCTGAAAATTTAGTTCACAAATCTTGCAATAATCCTTGCCTGTTCTGATTGTTAACTTTTGTTTGCAAGTAATCATGCTATTGAGGCAAAGTCTAAATGACTTAACGATCAC